TGAAGCCCACGCGCCCAGAGCCCATGCTCCGCAAGAAGAGAAGCCACCGCAATGAGAAGCCCGCGCACCGCAATGAAGAATAGCCCCCACTCGCCGCAACTAGAGAAAGCCCGTGCGCAGCAATGAAGATCCAACTCAGACAAAAATAAATAAATTAAAATAACCTGGGAGAGATGTGATGGGAGTCTGAACCAGAGAGCAGATGCAGAGGGAAGCGGGGGGCCAGAGTTGAAATGATTTGAGAAAGCAGAATCGAGGGTCAGAACTTGGTGACTAATTGTACAGAAGGTGGTATCAGAAAAGCTCCTATGGTAACTCCAAGACATTGTGTCCTGGAGATTGTCACTGACCAAAGCCATAAGTTTTTCTCCCCCAGGGTGTATTTATTTTGAAGAATAAAGGTGAAACAATTTCCCTTCACACGGAAGGAAGACACAGTCTTCCATATTGCACCAGACCAATCTCTTAGAATCACGTTTCACAAAGTGGTGGAATAAGAGGTGTAAAAGTTGTGCAGGGACGTCAGAAACAGTGACTCTTGTGGACAGAAAGGTTTCCTTTTTCTATTTTCTTTCCATCCTGATTAAGTCAAGGTGAAATCCTCAGTAAATCTTAAATACCTGATAATCTTCTTTTGAGCCAGAGAGAGAGAGAGAAAGAGAGGGAGAGGGCAAGCCCACTTCAGGTTCAGAAACTTAGACAGACAACGGTACCAAGCTAGTCATTGTTTTGTTTTTCTTGAAACATACATTTAGGCTTATCCCTCTAATTAAGACACATGATTCTGGTTTTCATTTATATAAATATTTTAAAGTTTCCTTTTGAAATACATGTACCTAAAAGGGGAGATGTGAGTTGATTTAGGAAAAATATTAAGTAAAACATGGTACACGAGACAGAAATTCCCTGCTGGTCCAGTGGTTAGGACTCCGCACTTCCACTGCAGGGGGCCCGGGTTCGATCCCTTGTCCGGGAGCTAAGATCCCACAAGCCAGGCTGCACTGCCAAAAAAAAAAAAAAGTACAGGGGATATGCAGATGTAACAAGAATCATGGCACATGAAAGGCTGAAGCTTAAGAAACCCTGTCCTTAAAACACCTATGGCTATAAAAAGAAACGAAATTGAGCTATTTGTAATGAGGTGGATAGACCTAGAGTCTGTCATACAGAGTGAAGTAAGTCAGAATGAAAAAGACAAATACCGTATGCTAACACATATATATGGAATTTAAGAAAAAAAATGTCGTGAAGAACCTAGGGGTAAGACAGGAATAAAGACACAGCCCTACTGGAGAATGGACTTGAGGATATGGGGACGGGGAAGGGTGAGCTGTGACAGGGCGAGAGAGAGGCATGGACATATATACACTGACAAACATAAGGTAGATAGCTAGTGGGAAGCAGCCACATGGCACAGGGATATCGGCTCGGTGCTTTGTGACCACCTGGAGGGGTGGGATAGGGAGGGTGGGAGGGAGGGAGACGAAAGAGGGAGAGATATGGGAACATATGTATATATATAACTGATTCACTTTGTTATAAAGCAGAAACTAACACACCATTGTAAAGCAATTATACCCCAATAAAGATGTTAAAAAAAAACACAAAAAAAAAACCCTATGGCTGGTTAGGAAGATAAATCCCAAATCAAAACAAATCTTCAGGGACTTCCCTGGTGGCCCAGTGGGTAGGACTCCACGTTCCCAATGCAGAGCTCCCAGGTTTGATCCCTCGTGCATGCGGCAACTAAGAAGCCCGCATGCCACAGCTGAGACCCGGCACAGTCTAAATAAATAATAAATAAAAATAAATAAATATATTTTTAAAATCTTCAGCATAACCTAAGTATGTATAATTAAAGAAGACTGCAGTTGTCTGGAAGGACCCAGTGATTAGGGTTTTGAGCAATTATGAATGAGGATGAATTTGGGGCTAAGGGCTCAGCAAGAGTAGGGGGTGATGGAGCTGAACATATACCAGGGAAGAGTCCCCTTTTCCTGTCAAAATCCCCAAGTGCCCCCCGGGGAAGGGACTTCTCCCTTGAACTGCGCAAGGCAGCCTGAGAGGTCTCCCCAGAGAGCAGCACTGTTTCACTTTGTGGTTTGTTTCTGCAATCAGCTAGGAAATAAAGTCTTCAAATTAAACTCTTCCGGAAAAAAAAAAAAAATGTACTTGAGGGAGAAGCAAGGGACAGATAGGTGTAACTGTATTAGAGGTTGTTGTGAGCCTTAAGAAGGTGGTGGCTTCCTGCTTAGCAGGTGGTTCTTCCAGGAACCCAAAGCCCTAGACCCCAAAAATGGGTACAACCACTTAGATGTTTGAGAGAAACATCTCCAGATGGGGTGAGCGGCTGCCCCAGGAGCCCCTGATGGGACGTCTGGCTTGGTCCACGGTGGATGACTTCGTCCCCCACACGGTGTAGACCCCAGTGAGAGGTCCCTTCATCCACTGGCATTTCAGCTTCAGTTCTTCTCCTTGGGAGCATTTTCTGTTTTGTTTGAGTGAAGGGTGCTATTTTCCACAGTGTACTGGAAGGGATATGCTGACAGAAAACGTGAGACAAAAGCAAGGAAGCCAGAAATGATAACCTTTGTTCCCCACCTCTATGATTCTTGTGCTTTGGCTGCAGCTTGGGGAAATCACGTGGCCAGCCAATAAACCCCACGCGGACAGAGGCCCCATTATCCAAACCACCTGAAAGGATGGTATTTAATCAAAGGACCTAAGAAGTTAAAACCCTGGCCTCTAAATTCTTGGCACTTTCAAAAGGCAAACATCAAGGTGACTCTGGGTGAGAAGATAAAGGCTCCATAATGCACAAAGTGAGAACAGAGAGCCTTTTAATGGTCACCTGGCACAGAGAGGCCCTGTCCCTGCTTAGGCAACTCAAGGCCACTACACTGAGAACTGCCACCCACAACAAGAAAAAAAGAGCACCTCCTGGCTTTAGAGCTGTGTCCTATCAAAGTGGATGCCCAGGTCCTGGTCTCAACTGGGACCTTATCAGAGGGTATTAAGGTTAAGAGACTTGACAGTGGGAACACTGGGCCAGCTCCCAGCTCTGCCACGCTCGGCTGACTGGCCCTGCACAAAGCCCTCAACCGGTCCAGGACCCCCACCCTTCCCTCGTATGTTAACAGAAAGATGATAACACTCATCACGCAGGGTGGTCACGAGGCTCAGAGAGTAAACGAGTAGATCACAGGGGAAGACTCCTGCTTGCTCCTGTTTTCGAGGATCCCTGTGGAAATTAGGTGTGAATCTACAGACGTTAGAGATCAAGGTGTGTGATATGAAAATATAGTTATGTCATTTTTGCTGTGGTTATAATCACCCTGGCATTCTTCCAGTGTCCTCATCTATCACATCAATTCTTTCAGCAACCCTTTGAGGAAGGTAAGGAAGGGCGAATAATAATTATTTCCATTTTACAGGGGAAAGAGAGGCAAAGAAGTGAAAGGCACCGTCAAAGACTGTCTGGCTGGTTTGTGTGGCAAGGCTTTCTGCTCAACCCCATCCAACAGAGCTGGAGTTCCACGTCTCCAACAGGTGCTAACAGAGCCTGACAGCCTACAGATGAATCGTAAGGAGAAGAAAGGGAGGGGAAGGCTGTAGATCAGGAGACTTCAGAGACATATCAACTGTTGATAGGTATGAGGGTTCTTCCTGGGGGTGATGAAAATGTTCTAAAATTAGATTATGGTGATGGTTTCACAACTCTGTAAACATACTAAAACACATTGATTTGTACACTTTAAATAGGTGAATTTTATAGTATGTAAACTATATCTCAACAAAGCCGTTAAGAAAAAGATATATCAGGGTTTTTTAGGGTTTATGCTAAGGATGCATGTTTGCGTGCCAGAACTCTAAAGAAATGCAAGTAAGTGATTACTATAAAAGTCAGGATGCCTTTCAGGTGGACGGAGGGTTTTGTGATTGGAATGGGGCACATGAAAGAGCTTCTGGGGTGGGCAGCAAGGTTTTCTTTCTTTCTTTTTTTTTTAATAAATTTATTTGTTTATTTATTTTTGGGCTGCATTGGGTCTTTGTTGCTGTGTGTGGGCTTTCTCTAGTTGCGGCGAGCGGGGGCTACTCTTTGTTGCGGTGCGCGGGCTTCTCATTGCGGTGGCTTCTCTTGTGGAGCACGGGCTCTAGGCATGTGGGCTTCAGTAGTTGTGGCACGTGGACTCAGTAGTTGTGGCTCATGGGCTCTAGAGCGCAGGCTCAGTAGTTGTGGCGCACGGGCTTAGTTGCTCTGAGGCATGTGGGATCTTCCCAGACCAGGACTCGAACCTGTATTCCCTGCATTGGCAGGTGGATTCTCAACCACTGGGCAACCAGGGAAGCCCAAGGCTTTATTTCTTGACCTGAAAGGTAGTTACAAGTGTGTTTAATAATAATAATTATTATTATTCCTTACACTGCACATGTGTTTTGTGTAGTTTTCTCTGTCCATTCTGTTAATATAATAAAATGATTCTAAAAAATAGGGGAAATCAAGTATGAGATGATACCATGTGCCAGCCAGACTGTAAGGACCCCCCCCACCTCCTGGTATTCATGCCCTTGTGAACCCCACCCCCTTAAATGTGGGCGGGACCTGTGACTTGCTTCTAACCAATAGAATAAGGCAAAGGTGATGGCATACGTGTGATTATATGGCCCTGTGGTTACGTTATATAAGGTTTAATGTCCACCTTGCTAGGAAACTTGATCTCCCTTGTTGGCTTTGAAGAAGTAAGCAGCCATGTTGCAGAGGCCCACCAAGTAAGGAACTGAGGGGGGTCCTCAGTCTGACGACTCACAAGGAACTGAATCCTGCCGACAACCACGTGAGCTTGGAAGCAGATCCTTCCCCAGTGGAGCCTCAGTGTCACCCGGCCCCAGTTCACACCCTGACTGCAGCTTGTGAGACTCCAAAACAGAGGCCTCAGCTAAGCTGTATCCTGACTCCTGGCCCACAGAAGCTGCGAGAGAATAAATATGTGTTGTTTGCAACCACTGAATGTGTGATAATAGTATTACACAGCAATTGATAGCACGCCCCTTGTGTGTGTGTAGGGGGGGTCCCCTAAAATCAATCTCATTTTCAGTGATGCACTAGAAGGACTCACAGAACTCAGCAAAGCTGTTATACTTACGGTTACAGATGATTACAGTGAAAGGATACAGGTTAAAACCAGCAACAGAAAAAGGCACATAGGGCAGAGGCCAAGAGAGCCCACTCACTCCTCTCTCAGTGGAGTTATGGGGACAATGTTTAATTCTCCCAGGATGACGTATGACAACACACACGGAATGCTGCCAACCAGGGAAGCACATTCAAGTCTTGGTGCCCAAGGCTTTGACTGGCGGTCGGTCATGCAGGCAGACTCACCGCCCAAGTGGCTGACCTTAGTTTCCAGCCCTTCCAGAAATCAAGCTGATACTGTGTGGCCCAAGGCCCTCAGATAAATACACTCTTATCAGGCAGGATATTCCAAGGGCTTAGATACTATCTCCCACTCAAGAGCCTGTCCTTTCTTGTAACCGGTCCGTGCAGGGTTTGAACAATGCAAGCCTGCTGGGTTAAATATTTACTTTGCATCCCTTAACTTTGGAAGCGGGATGTTAACTTAAGTCAAGTTGACTCCCTGCTTGAAGGCAGAGAGACCAGGAATTCAACATGTGTTAACACCAAGGGAATGTTTATACGTTTATTTGCCTCACAGTCAGAGAGCTTCCAGGGAATGAGCCATACAGCCAGAGGCAGGGTGCAGAGGAAAGGCAGCAGAGACTGGGCACTCAGAGAGGAGCTTCACCTGATCAGCCACGGAATAGAAGGCAAGCTTTCCCTCCTCAAGGTCCAGCCAGATGCCCACCACACTAGGTCTGTTTGAGCCAAGGACAGTTTTCTTGACCATGTCCCATGCAGAGAGCTGGCTAGTCCCTTTCCACTCTACATACCAGGAGCCCCTGGTCCTTCCCAGGATCTGGTCACGCCCCATCCCCCGGGAAGCCACCCCACCTGCCCAGTGGCTACATCGCTGAGTGTCCACTTCCCAGTACTGCTGCCCAGAAGAGAGAGCCTGGGAACATAAGGCCTGGCAGGAGGCAAACCTCTCGTGACTCCAGGGATAGGGCTGTGGGCGGTGAGAAACAGTGATCCTTGGACACCTCCAGGCTACAGGAGAGGCTCCCTAGGTCAAAGGTTGGATTGATGACCCCAGGGGAAAAAACCAGAACAGGACTAGCCACCTCTGATGGTTCACGCTAAGAGGTCTTCAAATAGCAAAAGGCAGCTTTGTGTCTTTGAGTGTGATAAAGTTTTACACATACTGGCATTAAAACTGGTGCATCAAGGGACTTTCCTGGTGGCAAAGTGGTTAAGAATCTGCCTGCCAATGCAGGGAACACAGGTTCAGGCCCTGGTCCGGGAAGATCCCACATGCCACGGAGCAACTAAGCCCGTGCGCCACAACTACTGAAGCCTGTGCGCCACAACTACTGAAGCCCGTGCGCCTAGAGCCCGTGCTCCGCCACGAGAGAAGCTACTGCAATGAGAAGCCCGTGCACTGCAACGAACAGTAGCCCCCGCTCGCCGCAACTAGAGAAAGCCCGTGTGTAGTAATGAATACCCAACACAGCCAAAATAAATTAAAAAAAAATATATTGGTGCATCAACTTGCAGTAGGACCTTGTTATACATACCCCTGATGTTGTTCTAGTAACAATACCCTCCTTTCCCACCTTAATTTCTACTTACCCATTAGCCTTCTTTCAGGAAGCCTTCTGCGAAGCCCCCTGCCCCAGCAAAAGTCACGTCTTGGGGCTTCCCTGTTGGCGCAATGGTTGGGAGTCCACCTGCCGATGCAGGGGACGCGGATTCGTGCCCCGGTCCGGGAAGATCCCACATGCGGTGGAGCGGCTGGGCCTGTGAGCCATGGCCGCTGAGCCTGCGCGTCCGGAGCCTGTGCTCTGCAACAGGAGAGAACACAACAGTGAGAGGCCCGCGTACCACAAAAAAAAAAAAAAAAGTCACATCTTGCTTTTCCCCTAATACTTTACCTGATCTCTAATGATACTTACCATCTTCTACCTGTAGTACAGTGATTGATGACCATGGCTGTTTATATCTCTCCACTTACACATGATCTTCCTGATTAAGGATCATGTCATTCATTTTGTATATTTCATAATGTTTTCTTTTAAGGGAGTAAATAATTACTAATACACAGCATTCCTACTCTAGGCTCATACTTACACACATTCATTCAGCCTCATGACAATCCCACAAGGGAAGTAAGTACTATTATCCCCATCTTACAGATGAGGGAACTGAGGCTCTGAGAGGTTACGTGACTTGTCCAAGATCACACAGCTAGTGAGAGGAGGAGCTGGGAGTCAAACCCAAGCAGTCTGGCTCCAGGATCCGTGCTCGCAAGGACCACTCCAGACTCAGACAGTGATGGTAGTTAAACAGGTTGGGGGATTGGCAGTTGGCAGTAAATGGTGGCCCCAGCATGGATGCCCAAAGTTGCCTGGGTTCTGAGTGCTCATGGGTCTGGCTTAGCCTGGAATTTGGGAGTCTTCAACTCCTTTTGTCTTTGTGATCAGCTCCCCGTGGGGAGGGGCCAGGTGTGGGGGAACTAGCCAAGGAGTGAGCCTAACAGCAGAGAGATGGACACAGCACGCTCTTGCAGCTCCTTGCTGCAGCAGGTCAAACCCAGGTTGTAAGCAGACCACATACGTACATCGAGCGAACGAGGAAGCCCTCTTGGGTGCCAGGTGGCTCTGGTCAGGCAGTGGGCATGAGGAGGAAGACAGAGCTTCTGGCAGTTCAACTATGGAATCAAAAAAATTGGGAGGGGGGCTTCCCTGGTGGCGCAGTGGTTGAGAATCTGCCTGCCAAGGCAGGGGACATGGGTTCGAGCCCTGGTCTGGGAGGATCCCACGTGCCGCAGAGCAACTAGGCCCGTGAGCCACAATTACTGAGCCTGCGCGTCTGGAGCCTGTGCTCCGCAACAAGAGAGGCTGCGACAGTGAGAGGCCCGCGCACCGCGATGAAGAGTGGCCCCCGCTTGCCACAACTAGAGAAAGCCCTCGCACAGAAACGAAGACCCAACACAGCCATAAATAAATAAATAAATAAATAAATAAATAAAAAATGGGGAGGGGAAGAAAGTCCCATCAAAAAAAAGGCAAATAGAAAGTATCCAAACATCGTGATCAGCACATACAGCTTGTCTTCCTCATCATCAGATCTTGATCAGGCAGTACATCCAGCTTAGGTACATCCAGCCCCATGTTCTTACCATGGACTTTTTTTTTTTTACTGTCTGTTTCCTCACTGAGTTCTAAGCTCCTTGCTGGCAGAGACCTTGTTCATCTCTGTATTCTAAGCACAAGCCCATTGCCAGGCACATAGGAAGTTTTTCATGCATATTTATCAATATGCATGATAAAGGGATCACGGCATCATGCAAGGGATCACGGGCACCCTGACACCCAGAATATCCACGCCCCCCAGGTCAGTGCTTTAAACTGTTATAAAACTGGGGAACATGAGATTCATCACAACTGCTAGGACCTATTACCTCAGTGTACATTGAGGGGTTTTTTTTATTGAAGTATAGTTGATTTACAACGTTGTTTTAATTTCTGCTGTACAGCAAAGTGATTCAGTTATACATATATATATTCTTTTTCATATTCTTTTCCATTATGGTTTATCACAGGATATTGAATATAGTTCCCTGTGCTACACAGTAGAACCTTGTTGTTTATCCATTCTATATGTAACAGTTTGCGTCGGCTAATCCCAAACTGTACTAAAGTTTAATTGTTACCTTAAAACTACTATGTGCTTGCAACGACCATAGTTAGGTAGAATAAGGGACAGTAAGGGAAATGTCAGAGTATGGACTGTGAAGGTGAAATTTTCCCCTATTTGTACCTTGAGGTGACAGCAGCATAAAGTGAATCCAAGAGTCAGACTGAGAAGAGACAAAAGGCCCTATCTAGGGTGTGGGCTGTGAACACTTAGGTCATGAGAGCAGGAGAGCTGCCCTTCAAGAAGTCATGCTCAAAATCTACGTGGGGTACCACTCTTCTTTCTATTGAGCTGATAGGATTTTACTTATCGTTTATCACAGTTTTAAAAATGTTTGTAAGAACTGCTAGCTACTTCTTTTTTAGCTAACACAAGTTTTTCCCCTAGTGATAGAGAAAATAATCTACACTTGACTGGTTGGTTCTTAAAAATACTTAGAAAAAAGAAACGAAATTGAGTTATTTGTAGTGAGGTGGATGGACCTAGAGTCTGTCATACAGAGTGAAGTAAGTCAGAAAGAGAAAAACAAATACCGTATGCTAACACATATATATGGAATCTAAGGGAAAAAAAAAAAGTCATGAAGAACCTAGGGGTAAGACAGGAATAAAGACACAGACCTACTAGAGAATGGACCTGAGGATATGGGGAGGGGGAAGGGTAAGCTGTGACAAAGTGAGAGAGTTGCATGGACATATATACACTACCAAACGTAAAATAGATGGCTGGTGGGAAGCAGCCGCATAGCACAGGGAGATCAGCTCAGTGCTTTGTGACCACCTAGAGGGGTGGGATAGGGAGGGTAGGAGGGAGGGAGATGCAAGAGGGAAGAGATATGGGAACATATGTATATGTATAACTGATTCACTCTGTTATAAAGCAGAAACTAACACACCATTGTAAAGCAATTATACTCCAATAAAGATGTTAAAAAAATACTTAGAAAAAAAGAAACATGATGTACATTCATAAATATTGAGTAGCTATTAAATAAGACACTGGTAACTATTACAGAAATGAAGTATTTTGATATGTTAATCTCTCTGGGTATAAACTCAACTGCTTACCCACTGATTATGATAGGTTTCATAAAAGAACAAAAAATGATAGTTTATTAAACAATTGATTTGCCAGAAATATTTATTATATAAACTTAATTGCTGAGAAATTTCTTTAAAACAGAATCTAAAGAATCTCATTTCTCTACTAAGAGAATAAGCTACAGGCTTTTTTTTTTTTTTTTAAAGTAGCCAGGATCCCTTGGATCCCTTGGGAATTTAAAATAATAATTTCAAGAACAAACCATTCTAAGCAGAATTGTTCTGCATAAAATTACAGTTGACCCTTGAATAGCACAGGTCTGAACTGCGAAGGTCCACTTATCTTTTTCAATAAATATACAAAAATATATGTGGATCAATAAATACACAAAAATATATGTGTAGAACGTCACGTGCAAGACTTGTATTGAAGTGGATAGCCTTTCCTTACATAAGCATAAGGTGAGTGATATTTAATATAAAATTAGTAGTGTGTTAGTTTTCCTTCTCTCCAGTTTTCTTTCTCTCCCTCTCTATCAGCCTACCATCATAGGTAACTGTTTTGTTTTAAAAAAATAACAATGTTCCTAATACTGTGTTATGAATATGACTGTAATATTGTATGCCATAAAAATTTTATAATGATTAATCCATTAGTGTATAGGCTAGGCTACCACAAAGCAAGCATACTGTTGCTTCTTTGTTATCAATGCATGAATAGTTACACCTGTAAATAAATGTGAATTTCTTTTTTGCATTATCTTTTCATTTTTGATGTCTAGTGTTAGTAATATGTATAACATCCTCAGTGCTTTTTATCATATAAGACAATGTGTATGTAGATACTGACAGACGATTCATCTCATAAACAGATGATGTAAACTTACAGTATAGATAGCTACAGCAGAGTACTGTAAATGTATTTTCTCTTCTTTATGCTTTTCTTAATAAAATTTTTTTTCTGGCTTACTTTATTGTAAGAATACAGTATATAATACATAAAACATACAAAATATGTGTTAATCAACTGTTTATGTTATCTGTAAGGCTTCCAGTCAGCAGTAGGCTATTGGTAGTTAAGTTTTGGGGCAATCAAAAGTTATAGTGAAGACTTCCCTGGTGGCACAGTGGTTAAGAATCCGCCTGCCAATGCAGGGGACACGGGTTCGAGGCCTGGTCCGGGAAGATCCCACATGCCACAGAGCAACTAAGCCCGTGCGCCACAACTACCGAGCTTGCGCTCTAGAGCCCGCGAGCCACAACTACTGAAGCGTGCGCACCTAGAGCCCGAGCTCCGCCACAAGAGAAGCCACCGCAATGAGAAGTCCACGGACCACAACGAAGAGTAGTCCCCGCTCGACGCAACTAGAGAAACCCCACGTGCAGCAACGAAGACCCAACGCAGCCAAAGATTAATTAATTAAAAATATAAATAAATAAAATAAAATAGGACTCCTGTTTACAAAAAAGAAAAAAGTTATAGTCAGATTTTTGGCTGTATAGGCGTTTGGTGCTCCTAACCCCCATGTTGTTCAAGGGTCAACTGTACTCCTCAGTAATTAAATTTGTATTACAAATAATCACCCCTGCTGGGTAAGCTACACCAAAATGCTTATCAAAACTTTAGTGTGCATGAAAATCCCCTGCAAAGTTGTCAAAAACGCAAATCTTTGGGGCTTACTCCCAGAAATGCTAACTCAATAGTCTGGCCATGGGCTTTGGATTCTGCTTTTTTTTTAAGGGTGGAAAGATTTTTAATTAATATTATGAAGTCACCATAATACAGATATCAAAGCCACAAAAAGAACATATAAGGAAAAAAAAAAACATAGGCCAACAAACCTGGAGATTATCTGCATTCTTATTAGTGTTACAGAGAGTCCCGGGTTATACTCAAGAAACACTGTGCCCTTTAGGCTGCGTGATTTCCGTGGCAGCTCATGGTGTGTTTACATAGGGTCAAAGGAAACCATTGTGATGAGGCAGTCAAATTGCTTAGCAGCTGTTAAAGTGCTGACTTGAAGAATAACTAATCTATTGTCTTAAAAACAATCTTGTGAGAACTTCAGGAAATGATGTTTCAGGAAATAGGTATATATTCAGATCTTATGTTTTAAAACTGTCCTGGATAATCTGGTAAAACTGGTCCAAATAATCAAAATCAAAATACCAAAATAATCAACGTTGTACTTGCTAAGGCATACTTGAATTTTCTAAGTTAAATTTTAAAAATACTTAATATGTATACTTAATTCCTCAAAAAATTAAATATAGAATTACCATATGATCCAGTAATTCCACTTGTAGGCATATATACAAAAGAATTGAAAGCAAGATCTCAAAGAGATGTTCATACACCCATGTTCACGGCAGCATTATTCACAGTAGCCAATGGGTGGAAGCAACCCAAATGTCCATCGAAGGATGGATGGATGGATGGGTAAACAAAATGTGGTATATATATGTGTATAATACAATGGAATATTATTCAGCCCTTAAGAGGATGGAAATTCTGACACAGTCAACAATATGGATGAAACTTGGATCCAACAATATGGATGCTAAGTGAAATAAGTCAGTCACAAAAAGATAAACACTTCACAATTCCACTTATATAAGCTATTTGGAGTAATCAAACTCATAGAAACAGACAGTGGAATGGTGGTTGCTAGGGGCTGGGGAAGGAGGGTATGGGGAGTGCCTGTTTAATGGGTATAGAGTTTCAGTTTTGCAAGATGAAAACGTTCTGGAACTTGGTTGCCCACAATATGAATATACTTAACACTATTCAACTGTAAACTTAAAAATGGTTAAGATGGTGCATTTGTTATATGTATTTTACCACAATTAAAAATAAAAATTAAAAATGCACACTTAAATAATCATAGAAAGTCATAATTTTTTCCCAAGATATCATGTTTCTCCAGTTAAATAAGGAGAAACATTTCAACCAGAGCAACAGCATTAAATATTATAAATGTTATAAAACATTTACATTATTATTTAAAATTCACTAGGACACACGCTAGGATAAATTTCAAATGGGTGAAAGATTTATATGTGAAACCAAAGATTTAATATAAAAATGTACACACACACACACACACACACACACACATCACTTGAGGTGGTGAAGTTTTCTAACTAAAATTTAAAATCTAGAAGCCACAGAAGAAAACACTGGTAAAATGTACTACTTGAAAATATAAAAATGTCTATATGACATTCTAAAACCCACACTAAACAGAATCAAAAGATAAATGACAAATTGGGGAACAAAATCTGCAATTCATATCACAGACAAAAGGCTAATCTCCCTAATTTATAATAAGTTCCTAAAAATCAAATTTTTAAAGGACCAACAACACAAGATATAAACAGACAATTCATGGAGAAATGCAAATTAAAAGTACAGTACACAAATATATCACTCTTTTTAATCCCATTGGATTGGCAAAAAAAATACAAAAGTTTGACAGCACATTGTGTTGGCAGGCTTGGGGGATAAACATTTCTTCTGTAAGAGTGTCAACTGATATAACCCAACTGGAGAGCAGTTTGTCAACGTTATCAAAATTGCAAAATTTACTCTATGACCCAGCAATCCTTACTGGTAATTTAACCTACAATTATATCTGCATTCATATAAAACGATGTATATACAGTAATTGACTTCAGCATTGTTTGCAATTATAAATACTTGGGAATAATCATGCATCCATCAGTAAAGGGTTGAGTAAATAAATGTTGGCATATCCATAAATTGGAATATTATGCAGCTTTAAAGAGAAAATGTTTGAGTTACTGATTTGTAAAGGTATCAAGATATATTAAGTAAAAAAAGAAAAGCAAAATGCAGAACAGTGTATACAATATGCTAACTTTTGTGTAAAAAAAAAAGATTGGGGGAGATAAGAATATAAACTTGTGTTTGCTTGTACTTACAAAAGTAAATTCTGAATGGACACTTAAGAAAACTAGTAAAGGTGGTTAACTGGGGGAATAAGAAGAATTGGACGAGAGTAGGAACACAACACTTTTGTTGTGTCTTTTTATATTTTTTGATTTTTGAATTAAAATTTTTTAATTTAATCCTCAAGTTTAAAGCTCGAGTTTAGATTTTAAATTAGGAACCCATCCTAAATTTAGGAGCACACAGGAGCTAAGAGGTCACTTTATTTCTCAGATCGTTTTTGGAACAATTAATAAACTGTACTCTAACTGGTTTCCTTAAGAAACTTTTCCCAAGGAATCATGCTTCTCCACTTAAATAAGAAACTTTTTAACAGAGCAAGATGATTTAAATATCTAAAAGCTCTAAGACATACGTCTCTAAAGCATACAAAGCCTGCCGTGGCCGAGTCGGGAGGCAGAGGCAAGGGAGACCAGAGCACTTGTCTAAGGGGCAGGTATGAATTGTTTTTCAATCCTGAGCCACTGAACAACAGCGAACCTAAAAGTCAGGACAGAAAGGTTGTTTTCTACATTGTTACCCTTTATTATTAAACACACTGGCCAGAGATTACAGTTGAGTAGAATTTTTTTTTTTATTTTTGCGGTACGCGGGCCTCTCACTGTTGTGGCGTCTCCCGTTGCGGAGCACAGGCTCCGGACACGCAGGCTCAGCGGCCATGGCTCACGGGCCCAGCCGCTCCGCGGCATGTGGGATCTTCCCGGACCGGGGCACGAACCCGTGTCCCCTGCATCGGCAGGCGGACTCTCAACCACTGCGCCACCAGGGAAGCCCAGTTGAGTAGAATTTATGAAGAACTATATACAAAGTTGCATACTTCATTAATAAGGACATTTACTAGTGAAAAATAAAAAGCCGCCTATTTCTGAATCTCCTCAGGTAGATATCACAGATGCATGGTGAGCAAGCAAAATCAGATCTAGGTTCTGGATTTATAGGTCTTAGAAAACGAGTTTCTATCTATGAAGGGCCTGTGATACATCACACCTCCAGTCAGGTCCAAAAACACATCCAGTCACAAAAATAGCTCAGCCCACTCCTTCCTCATTCACACCACAGGGATAACACAGCTGGGCTCTCAGATCCTGTCCCCAAAAAACAAAGCCACGGAATGCTGCCCCAACTTCCATAATTAAACCTCCTCTACCAAATAAAATCAACTCACCCTGCATTTGTTCTTCAAGGGCCTCTTTCCACATGAAGTTTTCTTGTAATTTTTCCTGGATTTCTTCAAGGTCATGGAGATGTCTCTCATTTTCCCCTCAGGTGTGTTGGAAGTCACTAGTTTTGGAGAAGCCAAGGAAAAGTCCACCCCATCTGACAAAGCCTATTGATGAATCATTTAAAAAAAAAAAAAAAGAAGAAGGAGAAGGAGAATAATAATAATAGGAAGAAGAAGAAAGGAAGGAAGGAAGGAAGAAGGAAAAAAGAAAATCTCTTAAGGAATGCATCAAATATATTCCAGTTCGGGGCTTCCCTGGTGGCTCAGTGGTTGAGAGTCCGCCTGCCGATGCAGGGACACAGGTTCGTGCCCTGGTCCGGGAAGATCCCACATGCCGCGGAGTGGCTGGGCCCGTGAGCCATGGCCACTGAGCCTGCGTGTCCGGAGCCTGTGCTCCGCAACGGGAGAGGCCACAGCAGTGAGAGGCCCG